CCTCCTGTTTGGGTGCCTCAGTTCTCCATGGCCTGTGTAACTAACCTATTCCCTGCCTTAAATTCCTGCTGCCAGTTATGTTTTAGGTTGCCTCCGTTTGCCTAATTAGACCCTGACTGGTACAAAAGCCAACCTCATTTTCTAATTGGTATAGTTACCGTTGGTCATAAGATTGAGTAAGAGAATGTTGTTTGCATGCTGTTTCCAGATTTTAGCAAGACTTTCGACAGATAATGTTATGATAGTTTGTGAACAAAATGGGAGAAATTTCGACTAGATTATAAAAAACATTCTTAGATTGCTGAAGTTTATTAATGTTCAAATCATCTTCATGAAAGGGCTCTAGAAGTTTGGCAGAAGGCCTGTCCTTGGCCATGTCCTGCTCAACATTATTACCAAAGATTTGGACAAAGACATGAAAAGCAGCTTTCTTATTAAGCTTATTATAAAGATGTCAACTTAATAAGAAAATATGGAAAGTCTTGCATCTAAATACAAAACATAAATTATAAAAATACAGAATAGGAGAGACCAAGTTTACCAGCATATTATGTGGGTATAGACTTCCAGAATTTTACGTGACCATAATGTCAGACAAGCCAGAAATGTGAACTATTTTTTAAAAATTAATCTTTGAGTCCCATTAAAAGAGCATTCTTATCAACTGACAAATAGTTACCCCTTCTCATCTAGTATAACCTCAGAACATAATGTTTTTAAAAATATTGTTAAATTGAAATATTTAGCCAGATGCAGTGGCTAATGCCTATACTTTCAGCACTCTATGAGGCTGAGGTAGGAGGATCACTTGAGGCCAGGAGTTGGGAGAGCATCCTAGGCAACATAGCAAGACCCCTGTTCTCTATAGGGGGGAAAACAAAAAGCTGGGAGTGGTAGCATGAACCTGTAGTCCTAGCTACTCGGGAAGCTGAGATGTGAGGATCACTTGTACTCTGGAGGTTGAGACTGCAGTGAGCTATGATCACGCCACTGTACTCCAGTCTACATGAGAGAGAAAGACCCTGTCTCAGATAGATAGATAGATAGATAGATAGATAGATAGATAGATAGATAGAAAATTTTTATTTTACCCTTTATAAAGCTTTGTATCATTTACAGGTTGCGTTTGCATATGTCATTCTTCACTTTTGCCTCACAACAGCCCAGTGTAGGATGTACTGTTACCCTATTTCTCAGCCTGCTTCCTCCTAGAGGTTTAAGTCTAAGTTACATAGCTCACTGTTGTGGCTTTAAGCAAACTAGATGCTTGGTCATGAGCCCAGCCTCTTTCAATAAAACCTATCTCACTTTGAGACACCGACTGCATCTAGGTAAGAGGGCCCCAACTTTGGAAGTTTGGAAGCCTTTACATGTGATGTGCTGTTATGGGAGATGGGAAGAGACTTATGGAAACATAAAGTCTGTCTTCAAGTATCGAATCTGTCATATGAGAGAGTAAATTCATGTGTTTTCAGGGAACAGAACTAAGGGTGATTGATTTTTGCTCAATATTTTAAAAATGCAAGCAGAATTGTTCTCTAATAGAGTGATATGCTCACTGTCTTTGTGCAAAAGTTGGCTAACTAACTCTCAAGAATACTGTAGTAAAATGAATTCCTGAACTGGGTAGGTTAAAGTAGAAAACCTCTAGAGTGACACCCAACTCTGACAGTCTGATTGGGTTTTTTGTTAATGAGTAGATTTGCAATTTGTAGTTTTAATTCAGAGTTATTTGATTCACACTTCCAGTTTCACTTCCAGCAATATCATTGTTTTTCCTATAATTTAGGATTAGCATACTCTGTGAAAAACATTTTAAGAGCCTGAAATGAGGAAGTAAAGCATGACTAGTGTTTGGTGTAATTACCTACACAAGAAATATTGTGCTATTTTCCAGAATATGTCCCCAGAGTGAATGTATGCATTTGTTCCATTTCATTCCTAGCTGTAGAATCCTATCAGGGGTGATGAGAGAATCATTTTGAAATATATTGAACCAGAGAATAGAGTTTGCAAAATATTATTAAGTCTGCTAAGATGAACCTGTGCAAATGCAAACTGTCAGCATACCACAAAAAGCTAGTGCCTGTATGGTAAAGGTTCCTGAAGTGACCTATTAAAAGCCACCAGAGTGACAGTGGCTGAAAAAAACATAAAATTTACTTTGAGAATGCCTTTCTAGCCTTCTTTCCAGAACTAACAGAATTTCTCTCCCCACATAGGATAGCTATTCGTTACGGGCTATAATAGTTGAGAAAGGAAAATAAAAATTATTTCAAAATTGATTTTAAAAAAAACCAGTACATTCTCCCAGAAGAGTAAAATATGCAGCAAATATTAAAGATTTCAGTGATTCAGAATTAACTTAACATTTTTCTTTGAGCTTATTTCTGGTTATGTTTAATAAAGAGAAGTTCACAGTCTTCCTAGCCACATGCTGAGGTCTAAAGGTTAGCTTACCTGAGTTCCTGAAAAAGACAGCTCTGTTGTGAATGCTTAATATTTCATGTCTTCCCTGTGAATGATCCGAAGGGCTGTGTGCTCTTGTCATGTTCACTTTTTTTAATTGCAGTGTCTGCCTCTCCCCACCCTTCCTTTAATTTCTTTCCCGACTTAACTAATCATAGCATAATTCTCACAGGAAGATTGGTGATGCATTGAAAATACTAAGAGAAAAATTAGGCAAAAGAGCATCTGGTATTTAATTCGATGTATTATCCATCTAAAAAATGAATTTTACAGATGGTAATGATCTCTGACAACTTACTGCCGTTTGATAAAATGATGGTTTTTAAAAAGAGATCGGTTTCCTACTTATGCGCTTGATTTTGCATTGACTCGGCAACCCCCAATACTCTTTCCCTTGTAAGTTGCCAATACAAAGTAGTTAAGTCATGACTAAGACTTCCTTCAGCCTGTGACCAAATCAGCATCATCAGTGTCTTGATAAGTTCCTCAAAGGCAGACAGACCTGACCTTACTGATTTTTTTTTGAGATGGAGTTTCGCTCTTGTTACCCAGGCTGGAGTGCAATGGCGCGATCTCGGCTCACCACAACTCCGCCTCCTGGGTTCAGGCAATTCTCCTGCCTCAGCCTCCCGAGTAGCTGGGATTACAGGCATGCGCCACCGTGCCCAGCTAATTTTTGTATTTTTAGTAAAGACGGGGTTTCACCATGTTGACCAGGATGGTCTCGATCTCTTGACCTCGTGATCCACCCGCCTCGGCCTCCCAAAGTGCTGGGATTATAGGCGTCAGCCACCGCGTGGGGCCCCAACCTTACTGATTTTTATATCATTAGTGTCCTCCGTGGGAGCTGGCATTTTGGGACCCTTGCAGTTAAGTGTGTATCAATGAAAACCCAGTCATTGAAAACAAGTTTTACAATAAGCTGAAATTTTCCCTTCGAAAAAACAACTCTGTATTAAAGTTTCAGGGTATCTGGGAGCCAGAGAGGAAGATGGCAACTTTCCCCTTGGATTCTATACATGAAATTGGGGGAGTTTTGATGAAGAATTTAAAAACTTAACCAAATTGGGGCCAGATGTGTTTTGGTATTCAGAATCTTTCAGGTTTTAGGAAAGTGGTGCAGTAGATATATATTATACGAAGCAATTTCCCCAGTGGGTATTCAGATGCATCACTATTCCAGTGACGGCAATTTCCCCAGTGGGTATTCAGATGCATCACTATTCCAGTGACGGCAATTTCCCCAGTGGGTATTCAGATGCATCACTATTCCAGTGACGGCAATTTCCCCAGTGGGTATTCAGATGCATCACTATTCCAGTGACGGCAATTTCCCCAGTGGGTATTCAGATGCATCACTATTCCAGTGACGGCAATTTCCCCAGTGGGTATTCAGATGCATCACTATTCCAGTGACGGCAATTTCCCCAGTGGGTATTCAGATGCATCACTATTCCAGTGACGGCAATTTCCCCAGTGGGTATTCAGATGCATCACTATTCCAGTGACAAAATGTATAAATAGTCACAGTAAGTGAAATAAACTGTTTAAGACCGTAAACAGTTTCAGGTTGGTTCAGTCAGAATTTTCAACCAATTGAGTTCACATCAGATCAGATTTGCCACCAAGTGAGTTTGTTCTCAGAGGTTCTGTGACTTCAGAGTTGTCTGTCAGCATTGTAGACCTACAATGTTTTGTTCATTAATCAAAACCTTCTGTAATTGTTTAGTGAATCATCATATTATTTTTAAGTAGACAGGTAGAAATTATTTCTATTTTCCTCATTTCCCTTGGAAAAAAAGAAAAAGCAAACATCTAAAGAGAGTTTTGAGATGATTAAAACATACTGAGCATTCCTAATCTGAAAATCCAAATTCCAGAATGCTGCCAAATCTAAACCTTTTTGTGTACTGACAGGACACTCAAAGAAAATGCCCATTGGAGCATTTCAGATTTCTGATGTTCAGTTTCAGAATTCTCAATCAGCAAGTATATAATGCAAACACTCCAAAATTTAAAAAAAAATCCAAATTTGAAACACTTTGGTTTTCAAGCATTTCGAATAGGGGATCTCACTTACCCCTCTCACTTACACCACACAGAATCCTCTGAGATAGAATCTAGGATCGTTTTCCTTTTAGAAACGCCACAGAGGAGTGAGGGGATAAGTGATTCATTCTGGGTCACAAAGTTAATGAGTAGCAAAACTAAGAATCAGACTTGGGTCTCTCAACTCTGAATCCCCTCCTCCTTCTACCAGGTCTTGTCTTCATAGGAAACACTTCTGTTGAAGCTGGGAAATGACAATTCAGAGATATTTTTGACGAGAGTTGAATGACTGTATGCCAGTGCCCACAGCCTTCTGTTAATTTGATTCATTTCAGTTAGTTTGGCAGAAGTAGGCTGATTGTTGTGAAGTTTAAAGTGTGTTTTGATTGTGTTTAAAATGGATATAATTGAAAACTTTAATTTTGAAGGTGGAATAATAATGATTATTTTGGGTGCTCTCCCATTTTGTCTTAATTGTTTAGATGTGCCTGGCATCAGAGGGGGTGAAAATGGAAGAATCAAAGCTAATGAAAGCAAAAGAATTTGATGGTGGAAGAATTAAAGAATTAGAGAAGGGAAAGGAAGAAAGAGAAATTAAAATGGAGAAAACAGATGAAACCAGGTTACAGAAGGAAGCAGAATTCGAAAACTCGGCTAAGGAAAATGTAAGAGATTCTAAGGAATTGAGAAATTTTGAAGCATTGCAAATAGATGACATAATGGCTATAAAGATGGAAGATCCCAAAGAAATTAGAAAGGAGGAGTTAGAAGAAGATCAAAAATGTAGTCATTTCCCTGATTTTTCTTATTCTGCCAGTAGCAAGATCATAATAAGTGATGTTCCCAGTAGAAAGGATCACATGTGCCATTCTCATGGAATTATGATTATTGAGGATCCCACAGCATTAAACAAGCCAGAAAAGCTAAAAAAGAAAAAGAAAAAGAGCAAAACGGATCGACACGGAAATGATAAATCCACACCCAAGAAAGCTTGCAAAAAGAGGCAGTCTTCGGAGTCTGACATCGAGAGCGTCATATACACCATTGAAGCCGTCGCAAAAGGGGACTGGGGCATAGAGAAGCTTGGAGACGCCCCTCGCAAGAAGGTCCGCACATCCTCAAGTGGCAAGGGAAGCATGCTGGATGCCAAGCCGCCAAAGAAAAAAGTGAAATCAAGAGAGAAGAAGATGTCAAAGGAGAAATCCTCAGACACCACCAAAGAGTCAAGACCTTCAGATTTCATTTGTATTTCTGCCGGCAAGAACAGTTCTGGTGAGGCACCAGAGGGTATAAAGGCAGAACCATCGACCCCAGTGGAAGATGCACCACCACCCAGCCTATCAGGACAGGCCAAACCGGAGGACAGTGACTGTCACAGAAAAATAGAAACTTGTGGTTCCAGGAAATCCGAGAGGTCTTGCAAAGGTGCTCTTTATAAAACCCTGGTGTCTGAGGGCATGCTCACCTCTCTGCGAGCTAACGTTGACAGAGGTAAGTAACTTCTACAAACCTGAAAAGAATACAATAACCAAGCAGAATTTCACCTTTAGGCCTATTGAAAAGAACTGCCATAAAGAACAATATGGTATCAAAATAATCTCTTATATTTGTATATTTCTTTATGGTTTATGGATCATAATTGTTATTTTACCTACATGTTTTCTAGCACCATTAAGGAAAGTCTGCATCATTTTGTAGGTAGTTCTTGGGATGTATTTAAAGTAATTTTAATGTCTTTTCCCCCCCCACTGGTATGAGCTTTTTGTTTTGAAAGATCATTATTAAATATTTGGAGCTTTTGGTTTGGTTTCTAAAACTGGTGGAATTTCCTGAATCAAGCAGGTATGTTTGTCAAAATCTTGACCTGTTCGCTCCAGAAGCAAATGCCTTATGTAGCTCTCTTCATTAGATAATCAAAGGTATAACTGAAGTGGGCCAGGCCTGGTAGCTTACAGCTGTAGTCCCAGCACTTTGGGAGGCCAAGGCAGGTGGATCACTTGAAGCAAAGAGCTCTTTAAAATATTACAATATACAGAAAACAGTTAACATGTATGCCTTTATTCCATTGAGTGTTTCATATAAATTCATCTGTTTTAAAACATAGCATCTGGCTGGAGGACTACCTTTTGCCAAGCTGTATTCCAACCAGACATGTGAGTCCTAGGTCTAACAAGCCCCAGATGAAGTTACGTGGTCCTGTTTCATCTCCAGGGATGTCAGTTCAGTGAGTTTTAGGGAAACTAGAACGAATAGTGCCCACCAGCAAAGGACTTCCATACATACCTTGGCTGGTTCTCAAATGGAAAAGCTAGTAACAGTTAGTCTGAGTAATGTGATACGTGTTGAATTACATGGCAATTAATCCCAGAAGCTCTAAGTTACTTTTCTGCATGTTCCATTATTAAAGGCGGTCCAGCATGAATTACTCTGAGAACTCTGAAATAGTTACAAATAGTGTCATGCAAATGATATGTGAGCAGTCAAGAGGTTGCTTGTGAAGCAACTAAGATGATCTCCCCTTGCTCACCCATATACCAAGCACATCCTTTCTCTTGAATTTTCTTAGGGAAACGCAGCTCAGGAAAAGGAAACTCCTCTGATCATGAAGGGTGTTGGAATGAAGAAAGCTGGACATTTAATCAGAGTGGGACCAGTGGGAGCAAGAAGTTCAAGAAGACGAAGCCAAAGGAAGACTGTCTCCTTGGGTAAGTGCCTGTGAGCACAGTCACCTGTACTCCACAGGCCTTAAGTGTGGGTGGGAGTTTCAGGGTAAACATAAACCACTAAGCAAGCATGCTTGTTCTTTCACTACTCACTCAGCACTGCCTACAATCTTAGTAGGCACCCTACTGAACACAAATCAGCTGCATCACATTATTTCTGCTGTTAACACGGTCATGTGAATGACAATATCATTTGCATTTTGGGAATGGTGAAAATAAGTAGATTTTAGACCTGGGCCTGAGGTTTGAATCAACATCTACCGTAGAATAGTACTGTGACATTGTGAATCCTTTAATATCGCCAGGATGTGTTTTTACATCTGAAGCTTAGAATGGACAGTATTAAGCATGTTTACATTTTGCCCATTTTACATGCTATCTGCATTTATTGTTTATAAAATATGGCAGCTGAAAAATGTAAGGTAAATGGAATTATGCTTCTATCTCCAACCTTATTTATTTCAAACTGTCTTCTGTTGCTCTAATATAAAAATATTAGGTCAAATATTCTGGTGTAGCGAATATTCAATATATTAATTATGTATTGAAATGCTGTATTAAGCAATGGCATGCATCAAGATAAAAACACCAAGAATTATATTTAATGTTATGCCAAAGACTTAATAACCATCTTAATATAAAGCATTTTGCTAGTTAACAGATCCAGCGTTTATATTGGTGAGGAAAGTATCTGCATATTCAGTTAGACTGCCTTGAAAATTCTTGAGATTTCTCGCTGGCTCAATTGGAAAAGAATACTTTGAATAGAAATAAGTACATTGTCATATTCACCATATTTTTTTCTTAAAGTGTGTTTAAAGCTATGCAAATTGTATGCATTGGGTGTATTGCGTTTGGTTTATTCATAATATTTGTTTGTCTGTTAGTGGAATGATATATTTTTCCTTAGATGTTGCAATGCTTTAAGTCTGGCTAATTGTAAGACTCTAGGTCATCACAAAGTAGTGAGGTGGAAATTACTTCCCAGAGTGCTGGCTCTTTAAGATTATTTATATTGAAATGATATATTTATAATTTTATACATTTCATTTCTAAAATTTTTTAAAATCCAAAGTACTTCAAATTAGTTTTGCTTACATTTCAGTTAAGTAATGACATGAAAATCCTCACATTTCAATGTCAAATTATAGTTTAAATGCAGAATATCTTTTTTAAATGACCCGCAAGCATCTAGACCAGTGCTCTTATGCATTTTAGAAGAGCTGTCACTGCCTTGTGGGTCTGCACACTGAGAGAGGAGCAGGTGTTATGTAGGCAATGTGAGGTCCTAGGGGAAGAAAGCAAGCAGAGGCTCCCCAGCAGAAGCATGTCTCTGATGCTTCTATTAGAAACTGCTGAAGCTGTAAGAGAGATTTTCATCAATTTTCTTTGAGGAACAAGATAAGTGAAACAATCTTGAAAATCTGTTCCTGAAAAGAGATTAGTATGTGGATTGTATGTGTTTTTTAATCATTTCTGAGGAAGGCACATGTGTATAACTGGGAGATGGTTTTTTACAGCTTTAAATTAACAGTCAACTTCAGTGCCTTTTCCTCCTTTCCCCCTTTAAATATTGGCCCGCCAGGATTTGAGTATTTGGGTTTGCCTTGTTTAGAACACGCCAGTATAATACTTAAGCACGGAGAAATGCCACTTCCTGTCAGTCTGCTCTGAGATTTGTAGATGAGCATTTTAAAGCTTTTTTATCTCAGAAAATGTGCTACCTGTTAACTGTAGCCAAGAAACATTCTCTCAGTATTGACACATCTAATTTTATAGACTTCTCTAAGAAAAACATAAATGATTATTATTGTTCTCTTATTAGGAAAAGCCTTAAGAGACCTAATGAGTTACGTCTCACATTTTTAGTTTTCTTTCGGGTATTTAGAGTATCTGAAAAATTCACAACTTACAGACAGCTTTCTGATAGTATTTGATTAGTATCAAATTGTATCTGATTTTTCATCAGAATGAACATTTTTTAACTGAATGAGAAAAGGTGATGTTATAAAGGGAAAATCATCACCTCCACCATTATGCTTCATTGCTTTGATAGAACTTAGTACAGCAGTTCCGCCTTAGCCATATTTTTGCTTTCTGTGGTTTTGGATCTGAAAATACTAAATGGACAATTCCAGAAATAAACAATTCATAAGTTTTAAATTATGCTCCACAATGAGTAGCATGATGAAATCTCATGCTATCCCACTTCATTCCACCCAGTGCGTAAATCATACCTTTGTCTTATCATATCCCACTGTACAATATGCATGTATAGGAAAAAATGTAGCATATGTAAGGCTTATTACTGTCGGTGGTTTCAGGAATCTACGGTGGGTCTTGGAGCATATCCCACCTCTTGTAAGGGGGCGCTTCCGTAATTGCCGTTTCCTTAGTGACCATTCAATTAGTCATCTGACCCTCTTCGCTCTGCTTCTCAACTCTTGTATATTCCTCCAAAACAGTTTGAGTTAAAAACATTTCTAGTATATCCCTTAGCTAGCAGCCTCTAACACATTTGCTTCTTATAAGTTGGTACTAAAATTGCTCTCCTTTTCCCAATACATCTTCCATTTTCTGTCTACCAAGCACAGCAGTTCTCCTACAGCTTCTTCCATCTGTCTAGGTTGCACGTTAGTTAATAAGTCTCACTAAATGAAAGCCAGAAGCCAGCCTAGGATCCAGCAGGCATGTTGCCATTACTATGGGGCCTTAGAGACAGTCCGCACCAGCCCAGAGATGCCCAGCATTGCTGGTGACATTTCTGAAGTCACTGGTGATTTAGGTTAAAGTATGTTGCCTCTGTGCCAGGGCATTCATTGAAACTGGCTTTACTTTGCTCATTGAATATTTTATCTTCATTCTACTCAACTCTCCAGAATGTTTTCCTAATATCAATGCTTTTTGTTTATGTTTAATCAAACAGTAGTCAGTAAATTTTTTTAAAGTAACTAACCTTACAAAACTACCAGTACATCATATTACCAATAAGCTTGCCCTATATACATGTGTATGAGTCTGTAAAATGAGAAACTGTATGACTAAAGTATGCTTTGTACTAAACTTTATTAAAAGCTCATATGCCAGTGGAGAGAATGCCAAATTCCCCACTTCTAAAACATTCTAATACTGTAAATGGTGTTTCTACTTTTCTAAGGTAATAACATAACCTGTCACACGAGTTTACTAAGAAAAACTGTGTTGGTAAATCTCAAGCATTTCAGAAAAGGTGTTTTTTTTCCTTGCCCAGAATTTACTTACATGCCCTAATACCCAGAGACCCTGTTTTCAAATGGAATATCTTAAAATATATTTCGCATCATTTTCTGTGTCATATTTGGTCAGGCGCTGATTGATGTCCCTCTCCCCTTTTAATAGCTCCGCAAAGCTGGATGAAGAATTTGAAAAAAAATTCAACAGCCTTCCTCAATATAGTCCTGTTACATTTGACCGGAAATGTGTTCCTGTCCCAAGAAAAAAGAAGAAGACTGGAAATGTGTCCTCAGAACCGACTAAAACCAGCAAAGGTTAGATATGACCTGTACCTTCCTGCCATGTGGTCAGAATCCCAACTGACCCTTCAGCTAAGTTTCTGCAGCTCCCTTTAGACATGGAACTGGATTTGGAATTGAGGCAATAGGCAGGTAGAATCTCAAGTTGCTTTCCAAGGTTATCTTTGTTTCTTGTTTTTTTCCTTATTTTTTGTAGCCCCTTTCCATTGGCATCTCAGTCTGTATATTTGCCGGTAAAGGTGTAGCAAAGCTTTTGCAAAAAAGGTTACACATGGTCTTCAACCTCCTGCTCTCCAGAATTCTAATTTGGGGCGTTAACCTTTCCTTGAACAGAAACTGCTTATTGAGTCCAGTTCTTCTGTTCCTTGCGTCCTGTCCACACCAGGTTGAACTCTCGGGCTGTAAATCATTCTTTTCACCTGATAAGCAGATGCTAACTTCTCTTTACTGGCATTATAGACCAAAGAAAATAAAACTACCTGAAATCTTCCAGCCACATACATATATATAATCAGTTTTGTTAAATTTTAAAATGCTTTTCAAGTAATTAGTTTCTCCCCTGCCTATATCAGGGAAGCTTTTTATCAGAATGACTTGGGTGGATCACAGCATTCATCAGGGAAAAATCTGTAATCCTAAAGAGGGATTGTAAGAGGGTGGGGGCACTTTCGGTGGTCTCATCACCTGGGACCACTGTTGACATCTGTGGGACAGGTACTGGAGTACTAAACATCTTGCCCTTCAAGTACAGTGAAGGACTGTACTACCCAAAATGGCAATATAGCTTTCATTGCGAAACTTGTCTTCTGATTTTTCTTAAGGTCTGAAGATTGGTAGGGAAAATGTACCTCTGGTTTTCTATACAGATATGAAAGACTTCATTCAGTTGGCTCTCCTGTAAGGACATGGAATAGAGAAATGAAGAACTTGGGTGGCTGAGCTGTAGTTGCTTTCAGGATCAAACTCTAGCAGGATTTGCTGGAAGAATTCTTTTAATCATCCAGCGAAAGTTTCTGCCTATGGCCTGCTTCATCAAATTGGATAATTTAATCAAAACAGATTAACTCCTTTCTTTTATGGATTTTAATTGATCGATCTGTTATAAATAACAGAGATACAATTTCATGAATTTTAGGGACTATATATAGACTAGGGAAAATTTAAGGTAGATAGACGAGAGAAAATTATGGTTTATTCTCTGAAAAAACCTTTATGTGTCTCCTTCAACACCTAAAAACCCTTTGCACACTGGAATTGACACAACCAAACAGGGTCAATTTGAGATCTATATCTCAAGACAGAACTGAAAGGTTGAAGAAAATTTCCCCTTCGTGATTAAAGCCAGGGAGGTATATAAAAGTCATGTTAGAATTAGCTCAGTTTTCCTCTGTGGTCAATAAAAACAAGTCTGATGAATAAAGAACTAAAAATGAAATGTTGTTACATCACCAAGTTTGCTCATCTGAGAAAATAAGATTGGGTTGTATCAAGATTTTCCAGGACAGAAATAAAGTAGACTGGTTGACAGGTAGGTAGCTGAGCACCATAATGGATTGCCAAATGAAGTGACAATCTCTGTGCCCTGGAGATATTTAGGCATAGGAAAAGTAGTCCATGAGCCCAAAGATGCCAGGAATCTTGAGCTCCCATAATTCTTGGATTTAAAGTTGCTGATAAATACCTGACAAGCCAATAAAATGGGACTTCACTGATAGATGTGCAGGACATTATTCCTTCTCCCACTTCTTATAGTTCAAAACATTCATGTTAGAGCTCTGAAGTTGGCTGAATTATCTCTTAGGGAATGTAACAATAGATTTATTTTTGTAAAGCTATAAAACCCTGAAGTTAGGATCTATTTTCATGAAACCTTCTCTTGGGTCTTAGTTGTCTGTTACACGATTTTTCTCTCCCAGCTGAGATTAACAGTATTTCTTTTGATGTGAAATAGCTTTTTGGAGCTTTGGATTATACTTCATACAATATCATTTTAACTCTTACATTATATCTCTCAAGCCACGAAGTCACTGGTTCTTATATAGTATATCAGTAATTATATATGTGGGAAGTCTTCCAAGATCAGATTTTGTTCTGCCTTCTGGTTTATAGAGGAAAATGCAATTAAAATAAAGCAGAAATTAAATAATGTATTATCTATTCAGTAAACTAAAGAAATAGTATTTGTGACTGATTATAATTTGGCATTAGCAGCACCAATATACCAGACTACAAGTTATTATTAATGAAATTATTATGCCAGCTATGCTGTAATTGCCTGATCTGTAGGGGATAGAAGAGATTGTTTTCTTGGACTCTAGACCCTTTCCACCTTTGGATAATGAATCATTCAGAGCAAACATTGTGTATGAGGTCATTAGTTCATTAGTAAAAGGGTGTGTGTCCATCAGAAACCTAACTTTTCCTCTAATAATTTGCCATTTGTCCATATTTTGTTTTTTCCTTTGTCATTCATGTATGTCATGCATACATTACATTTTTCTTCATGACTTATACTAGGTACCTTTTTAGGTACTTCAGCTTACATAAAATGTATAGAATCTTTCTAAAATGTAATTTCTAGAAGAAATTTTTATGTATGCATTTATATAGTTGTATATCTTAAAGTCATAATCCTTGCTTGGGTTTACTCCTCTGTTTTGTTTTCTCGGTAGTGTTCATATTCCTATCTGCATTTCCAAGTAGTCTCTTCCTGTCTTTCCCATGGTCATCCTACTATCTCTGCCCTGCCTCCTATGTCTATGTCATGGGTCTTGTTAAAAACTTTACAATGAAAAGGGGCAAAAATAACTTTAAAGGCCACTTTCCTCAAGCTTGGGCTGTGTTATATTAAAACAGAGCATGATGACAGGAATAGAATTTCCCTTTCCTTCTAAAAATGAATTGTCTAGCAAATTCTAATCTAACTCACAATGAAATTCAGCTGAATCAGCCCAAACTTAGTGTTTTGAGCTATCTCAATGTTATTTTAAAATATTTTTAAATGAAAACATTAAATTGTATGTCTAAATTTAATTGTAACTTCCTAAGGGATTTATTTTACACATGTTTTTACATGTACTGCTAATGTATGAAGCATTGTTTACAAAAGTATCAGAAGTCAGAGTTTTATGTAGAATAGTAATTTTTCAGTGGAAGTAGGATCATGGAGAAAAAGAATTGTGTTGAAATTATGCCAACTGGACTCAATTCTCCACCTTATTATTTCTGTCCTTACATAGCTCCTTGGCCCATTATCAAACATACTGTTAATCCTTCTTATGTTTTTTTCAATACACACTTACATTTTAAGACTAAAATTAAAAATGGTTAAGGCATTGAGTATCTTTAAAAATCGCAGTGGGGAATAAAAGAAGCAAGTTTACAAGATTGAAGATTGAAGACAGAATTCGCTGTTTGGGTTGGAGCCAGCCCAACAGTACTTTCAGTCTTAGAGAACTGAGATGTGATAATAGATCTCCTTGTAGGAAATTTTAGCTTCCAGGTTGGGCAGAGTTCTCTATCTTTCCCCATAACTGAGAGTCTGCACGGCCATCAGATTTCTTCAGGAATATGGTAGCAGCACCTTTGCAGGTATAAAAGTTATACCTAACATAATTTTGAGTTTCTTAATGCATGCATGTCTAACTCAGTGAACTGGCTCCTCCCACTCAATGAGTCTTAACCTGATTGTGGCTGATTGACTCAGAGAATGTATTCAAGTCAGTAAATGCACATGCCCTTCAGGTGGGAACACATTGCTATAAATTATCACATAGAAATTTATTTTTTCATTAGTTAGTCATTACTTACATGTCCAATACAGAAATGGTGGCCTAGTCTTAGAACAAAACCCTTGCTCTTTATATATATACATATATATAACTTAAAAACATGAACCTGTAGAACCTGGGCAAAAGCCACCACCACCAGAGTTATGCCTGACATTTGTTTCTGACAACAGATCTAAAGAAGAGTTTCATCTTACTCGCTGACCTTGAAAAAGTATCACGCTAGGCTGATGCTTAAGTGGCTCCTGTGTTGCTGCAGCTTCTCACCCCAAAACTGTCCTTTTTCAGCAAGCCTTGAACAGTAATGTTTTGGAAAGGTTATTGTCAGTGTCCTTCTGGCACCCCTCTTAATCTCTCAGCTTGTGGTTTGGCCCTGTTGTTTTCTGCCCAGCTGTGAAGTTGAGGTGCAAAAGAGATTGATACCTTCAGAATACAGGCCATCTGCCCAAGGACTTAAGTAGAACTTAACTTCAACCTAAGCCAGTTTGCATACCAGCAATTAGGGATTTTTTTTTCTTCACAAGGAAGCTGAAGCTGATGCAGTTATGCCCTTCAGAAATTTGGTAGGATGGAAGGTTAAGATATCGTAGTAGAGTGAAGGACAGTTGTGAATATTTGTTTTCTGAGTGAGTCCTTCTAAAACCCTTCCACTGCATTTCACTTTCTACCATTTTTCTTCCTCCATGGACACTTCTACATTAATGCAATAACTAACTAAGGAAAAAATATAATAGTAAATTTCCTTATATTTCTATTCATTACAAAGTTTGACTTTATTTCCTTTAGACAAAATACCCAACTATACGCCACGCTGATTGGCAGAAATCAAAAACTTCTTGACTCTAAAATTCCTCCTTTTCAGTGACTACAGTTAGATCTTATCTATTTCTTTTCGAGTTTATCACTTTCTTTTTTTTATCTGAAGTTGTCATTTACTTAGAGTAGTTTCATATCTATGATTTGGGGTGGCCAGGACAAAAGGAATTTTAAAAATTTAAGTTTACAGAAACTCTTCTATGTACAAAACTACTATGATTGTTCTTGTTTCATGTTAAAATTGACAAGCCCTATCTTTAGCTTAGTCTTTAAATTACTTTTTAGATTTCTCTAAGTATGATTGGGTCCAAAAATAGATATTTCTTTTCTTCTTTTCTGACACACTGTATCCATCGAATCAATTTGCTTCTGTGAACTACTTCTTTATATCATTCTTTCTATGAGCCAATA